TCCTCTGACGTACTTTAAAATAAATGTGACTGAGAGTCCTACCTCAGCCAGGGCCTTCTGGTCCAATGATGAGATCCCTTCAAGCTCCTTCACCACATCTTTGGCCAGCACCAATGCATCTGACTCCCTCTGCACATAGTGCTGCAACTCTACCAAGCGAGCATCCACGAGACTCGCAGCGAGGGGAGATATCCCTGAGAGGGAAGAGAAAGAGAGAGTCTTGATACCTGTTATCAGTATTCCTAAATAAGAAGTAAACCCTTTTGTCTCAAATGTCGCTGAGTTAAAAACACTACATTTTCTATGTGTCTGGCATTCAGCGGACACTTTTTTGAAATGTAGAAAAGCTCTAAAAGGAAGGATTAAAACATCGCAGCTAGGGAGGACCCTTCAAATGTTGCTATGTTGATACAAGAAGAAGAACACTGCATACTAAATAAACCCAGACGTGAAAGAATCCTGTTTTCTCTTGCTGCTTGTTTTTTTGGGGTGGGGGTGGGGGTTTAAATGTAATTCTTAAAATTAATTGATTTTATTTTGTTTTGAATTTTCATTAGTCTGCTACTAAAAGTAGATGTTTGCAAACTGGATCTGGTGACCCTAAATCATCCATTAGTTATGCTGCTATAGGCTCAGGCAGTTGGAGAACTTCCCATGATGCACTTAGGTAGCATTTATTCTACCATGCCCATGCATTTACACACCACTACTGCATTAACTCGAGTCTTCTCTCTCCTGTAATTGGTGTTGTGTCCTTGTCTCTCTCTTCTTTCTTTTGTTTCCCTGCACCCACCCCTACAAGTCTGGTTCTCTTCCTATTAAAATGAGTTCTTTCTTCCCACTGTCACCAAATGCTTGCTGACAGGGATCATCAGATCACCAGAGATCTCTCTCTTTTATTTATATACCTTGCATAGAGGTAAATGCAGTTCAGAACACTTCACGGATGACTGACCTAATTACTGATAATAAGACATAACGAAATGTAACAGAAATGGGCAAATTAAAACAGTGGTTGAAACATCAAAGACATTTTTAAATAATTAAAGTGAATCAAATAAAACTGTAAACAATCAAAAAAAAAATACTATACTGAACAGAGAGAATCATTGTGCAATAGAATAAACTGTACAACACTCAAAAAGTGGAGCTGCACGCTGTGGCGACCCACTGTGAATAAGGAGTACCTAACTATTAGTAGATTTATGCTGGATGACCAGAGGGGTTGTACTGGTTCATTCGCTGTCACCATGTCTGACATATACACTGGAGTGAGACGAGGAAGTGCTTTAAGAAAAAGAGTAAAAGGGTATTTTTAATTAATATGGATACATATGGAGGTCTAAACAATATAACTTGGTTTGGATGACTGTTGTTGTCACCTGAAACATGAAATATATTTAGGAATATTTGTGAGAATTAAAGGTATCAATAAATTTAACCAAAGCAACATCAATGGAAAGGTTGCTACCGCAACAATAATGGCAATGTAATTTATGGTCTCAACTCGACCGTAAGTCAATGAATTATTATTGTCATGGTCTCTGGGTTTGGCCTGTGACTTAGTGAATCACACTTTTTCTGGCCCCTCTGAGTCTGAGGCGATGGTTTTCAGTCAAAAGTGAGGAGTGCTCACTTGGGGTTGGGAATGAGTTGCTGTCTTAATTGAAGGCGTAGTTGAAGTATCTTGGGGCTCTTGTTGAGGGAAGGAGGGAATTAGAGGTTGAAAGGGGGATTTGTGCAGCTGCTGTATTATTTCAGATGCTGTACTGGTCTGCTGTAGGGAACTGAATTTGAAAGCAAAGGTATCGATCTATATTACTGCCCTCACCTATGGCCACAAGCTGCTGCCAGTGACCAAAATAATGAGGTCACGGATTCAAATGACGAACATGAGCTTTCTACAAATGTGTGTGGTGTTT